ATGAATCCATGTCCAGGATAAACTGTCTGTTATACTATAAAGAGATCACTGTGCTCCACCCTAGGAGTTCACCCTTATCCTGTTACCATGTGGGATCTTCGGTACTCCTTGGAGTATGGTGTCATGGTGGAAGCTCCTCATTTATCTCTGGCAGATGGGACACTTAGCAATGGCACTTAGTTCATCAGCCTGTAGAGTCCTCTTGCCCCCCTGGTTACTGAGGACCTTTTCATGGTGTATGCCTTTGGACTGCATTTGCATGAGATAAAAGTAGTCTCCTGTTCTTTACTCATTCTGAGAGGTCAATCCACTCTACCTTTTCTCCAAACCTCTTGTCACCAATCTTCTAATTTTATTTTTCCCATGTCCTTAGTCATACAGGTCAGCAGTTAGTGCACATATTTTTGTGCATTTCTATATGTCTCATCATATTTCCTTTGACACAAAGTGAAAAACCAGATAGATATATTATTAAAGCTTGACCTACAATAAAAGATTTCTTTCCACTGTCAAGGTTACTCCTTTGTAGGCATATAATGATTCAGCAAACCACTTCCAACTGGTGCCAGCATGAGAAACTATCTCTAAACCAAGCTTCAGTTCCATTTGCCCTCAGTCAGCTAGTCACAGGCATGACTTGAAGGAGAAATGGCAGTGCAGAGGAGAAGACGCACTGGGAGTGTGGGCCATCTTCATACAACTGACATGGGTATTCAGGATCTGCTGGAGGCTGATATCTGATGACATCGGGCATGTTCAGGGTGGTATGGCTGTAGACGAGACTGATCTCTGATAGACCACTTCCATATGAGGGTGGAGTGTTTTGCATTTGTCCAACTTTATGGTTTGGTATATTAGATAACACTTGAGTCTCCTGATTACCTGATATTCTGTGGTCAGAATCTAAGTCTCTAGAAGCAAGCCAAGAGCAATTTTCCGAAGGATATTAGTTACTGTCTGAAGAAGACATGGCTCAGCTCCAGAGCACTAGAGACTTCTACTTTATTTTCCTAGTGGAGTGTGCCAGAGGCATTCTACAGCATTTGGATCTGCTGAAGATGCTTTGAGTACCTTTAGATCTGCAGGAGCAAAGGCCCACGTGGCTCCAGTTTGCAGCAGTGGCACAGCCTGCCTTTTGCCTGGACCCCACTTATGTTTGACACTGCACCAAAACTCTGTTCAGAGCAGCACACACATGTTGTGTATATTACCTCCAAAACCAAAAAAGCCCAGCCGGCTTTGCCTGCATTTTTGTTATAGGGAATGTAAGGTGAAGCAATTTGTCTTTCACATGGAGGGCATCTTTGGACCTTCAGAAACTTCTTTGACATAGCAGGTCCCTGAACTTTCATAAATTCTCTCTCTCACCCTTTGGTTACATGTATCTTATCAAGGCACTTAGCATAGTTGAAATTCTTGCACACTAGATAGAATCATCCTAATGTCATCAAAGTGATATCCCCTGGGATTATGACCACCAGAGAGGTTGATACCCTTGAAATAAGACAGTGAGGGTGTACTGGCATCCTGCCCGATGAAAGCAAACCACTTCTAATGGGCTCTGTTTATTGGGATAGAGATAAAAGAATTTTCTAGTTTGATAGCTGCCTGTCAGAAACCAGGATTTTTACATTGGAAAGGAGGACACATCTGGATCTCTACAGGTAATGGTCATTACCCGATTAAGTTCACAGCAACCTGTTACCCTCTGCCATTCTTTCATCTTTTGCACAAACCTGATATGCAAGTTAACTGGGCATATGATGGAGTGCTAGACCCATCTGTACCTTTGCAGAATTAGAAAACCAGTGTGGGGACCCTGCTAGTTTTAAAGTGTTTCTATCCTAACTATATATTCAGGAAATTGGGGAAATAGCCACAGATAGTTTCATGTATCCACTGGATATAGTTTTTTTTTATCACCTAATCCCCACAGGGCCTCTACTCAGATTGGCAGAAGATATAGTGACATTTTGAGTCCCCAGGAAGTAGCATCAGCCTAGAGTCTGTTTCCCTGAAAAGTCTTTTCCCCTGTACGTAGTCACTCTGATAACAGTCCCTTTGCAGAAGACACGAAGAAAAGTACCTTGTGGTTGTGGTTCCAGGACCTTCCTCAAGAATACCTGGGGGACTTACTGAAATACAGGTTGCTAGAACCAACTTGGAGGTTCTAATTCAGCAGTTTTGGGGAAGAGCCTGAGAATTTGCATTTCTAGTAGATGTGGAGCGGGAACGCTGTTTCTGCTGGTCTGGGGACATCAGTTTGAGAACCACTGTGTTAGAGCCACTCCCAGATGCTCAGGCTGGCACTTCAGTCCATGCTTTTGGTATGCTCGCCCAAATCGATGTTACCAATTACATTGTAAAGTCTAATGTAATATTCCTTCTTTCCTGCTCATTCCAACTCTCTAGATTTTTATCACTTAGGATTGACATTCAGGTGGAAAAAATACAAAAAGCCCAATTAAATTTGTATCCAGATCAATACATATGACTCTATATTAATAAATACAATGCAATATTTGGGACATGCTTATGCTAAACATTCTTTGTTATTTACAATTTAAATGTAATTGAGTGTCTGCATTTGTCTGGCATTCCTACTGCCAAATAAATTTCCAGAATCTTGCATTTCTTCTAGCACGTGTGTTTCCCCCAGGTCAGACTTTGTGCTGCCCTTCTCTGGTATGCTGGAATTGCTGGACTCTAAACTCATTCTAGGAAGTGAGGCAGTTGGCAAAGGAAGGGTAGGGGTAAGAGGTAGAGGGATAGGGGACGAGGAGATTTTCATTCCCTGATGAAAACTGGGTCGATTACAGGATCACCAAGCCAGGCAGGACCAGCTTCTTCAGAGTAAGAGGGAAAAGCTTTTTCCAGCAAAGATCGCTCATTTTGATTTAAATCTGGGTTAACCAAATGAGTTTTTTTCAATTTTCTTCCATAATAGATGCCCTAACTTTCACAGAAGATACCATGGTGAGACTAGAAATTTAACCACATATGTTATAATTCAGCAGCTCACAAGATTAGGCTCTTCTCTGACTATGCCATCCCTGTGTCTGCAACAGATAAGATTATTTTAGGCCAGCTGGAAGTACTACTGTCTGAAGGGAACCCAGAGCCAATAATTTAAAAGCCTGTGTTGTCATTTTCCTTTTTAAGATTTTCAGGGGAGTTAGGAGTAGCCACTTACCCCACGGTTCTGTTTGCCTTGTTTCCATCATGATGCTCAATCCCAGCAGCTGTTTGGTCTGATAAGCTTAATTTTGGCTGCTTGTTTCAGAAAACCGTAGGTGATCATTTAAGTAATTATTTTGTGCTACACAGCACAGACTATGAGAATTCAATGTCCCAATAGTTGCAGGTGGCCATCACTGACATCGAATCCAATTAGGTTGCATATCTAATCCCAGATTGCCATCTACAACATTTTCGAGGGTCTGATTCTTATATCCACTTCAGGTACTACATACTGTGTCTATTCAAGAAACAGAAAGCATCCTGCACATGGTAAACAAAAGAGGATTTAATACATGAAATTTGGCACTTATGTAATTATTGGAAGCCTGCAGGAACTGGTTCTAAGCTTGGCCTCCTGAGATGACTACTGTACATACTAGGAAGCTATTACTGAGGCCACCACTAAAAGTCATGCTGAAAGCAAGTAGCTGTGGCTACCACCTCAACTGCCTAGCAATCCTAGGAAACTGGAGAACAGACCCCTGTGGCTATAACCTAGGGAGTAGGGTGTCTTATCAAGTGGCTGCGACCATAACAATGGCTCCTCAACCCACTAAGGTGGATAGTAGACAGTGCAGTGCTGCTGAAAGGTAAACTCAGACTTCTGGGATTTTATCACATGTGAGAAACAGAGGAAAAGACACAGGAAACATGGCTCTACCTCAGTTTCACCTTCTAGACCTCCCACAGATCTCATTTGCAGAACTAAATTTACATCCAGAATCCTGGCTTCTTGTGAATCTAGAAAACAATAGAATGGAAGTTGGGTGAGACCGGCCCAACATTGAACACAGGGCTTTTGGACATGTTGCCTTTAGTGGGGAAAGATTCCTGCCCATAATATGCAGTTCAAAACCATATTACCTTTATTTCAGGTGGGAGAGCTTATCAGTAAGCCAAAGAAGATAGATTTTCCCACTCTCTTTTGCTGGTTGATCCTACTCTACCTTAGCACTCATAAATGTGAGCTTGTGCTAAAGTTCCTTTCTAGCCATGTCCCATTCTGTTGTCTCTGCGTGTTCTTTATTGGAGAACCTATTATCTCCATTATGATGTGTTAGAAATCTATTATGTCAGTCCTTACCTTTATTCTGAGCTTTAGTTTTGCACGTCTTTTTGTAGACATTAAATTTAGATATTGTGTTCTTACCTAAAACTCATCAGTGTCTAAAACCGAGCTCTCAAATTTACCCTTCCTAATCTTCTTGTTTCTGGTTTATATATAATTAGTATTTCAAATCTAAAACCTCAGTTATCTTTGAGGTGCTCACCTTACTGAGATCTATGCCCAGCTGATTCATTTTCATACTCCCTCACAGTGTACCCGTTTCATTCCCACTTCTGCTTCAAGAACATTGGCTATATTGCTTTATAATTCACCTAACAATTAAACATGTTAAGCCACGTGATCCTCCTCTATTGTTGTCTTGAACAGCTACTTAAATGCTGTTCTACTTTCTCTTTATGTTGCATTTACAGATAGATTATAGAAAGAGTGCTTTTTTTCTTTATATTAAAATAACCATTCAGTACATTTTTTTTCATTTAATTTGAAAAAGATAGTCTATTGGCTAATATTAGAAGAAGAAAAGGAGAAGAGTTACACCTTTTCATTTTAAAGAAGGGGACTAAATGGTAATGGAAAAATAAAAAGAAGACTGAACTATTTTTAAGTGGTGGAGGTGTGTATTCTTGCCTGACCACACTGTGGTTTGAGTGGCCTTCATTCAGCATTGACAAATTGCTCTTGTAAAAGTAACTCTAGAATATAGGCACACTTTTAATATCCTAAGTATTTTGAGACGGATATTTTTTTTGTTTACTAGATAATACTAGGCATTAATTTTATAAATATAGTATCAGTTAGTTTTAATCAAGGTCTTCATAATCAATTCTCTATATCTAATATTGGGGGCACAAACCTTCACAGACATTTTGTCCCCATATTGAAACTCTGATGTTCAAGTTGGAAGATGCTTCCCTTACTGACTGATGGTCATTAGTAGTAGCCCACGTGCAAAGTCTTTGTTTCCCTTTCAGGGATGAGATTCCTTTTCCTGTGGCTCCTTTTTCCTAGGAGAGTTATTCTGTGAAAGTTAAGGCAGACATGATGGGAATTTATCAATACTTTACAAAGATTCATGTTACAAATGTCAAATTTGATCATTTCAAATACTAAAAATCAGCATATGTTATCTTTAGTATGAAAGAAAGGCAGAGGCTCATTTTTGGATGATACACACCCTCTGCTAAAAGTGTTAATTTCTCTGGGACCTGCTTGGTCTCCAGGTGGACAAAGAAACCTCATAACTTTGCAAGTATCAGTACATGTTGCCTTTTGGTGTCATTTTCACTGTTAGAGAAATGGTTATGAGATTATGACCTAAAGCCACAATAAATGAATCTCTTTTGTTGCTGAATCCTAAACTACCATGATAAATATGATTTAAAAAGCATCCAAAGGGGAGAGAGAAAATTTTCTTAAAATATTGATGCACTGGTTTTAAAAGGAAATTGTGATTATTCAGTTTGATTTCTCTTTCTGTGTTATTGCTGAAGACCTGATGCAAAGAAATAAACAGATTGTAATAAAGAAAAGTAATTTACACATTTGAAAGAAATTGCTTATGTGACGATTGTTTAACAAGGAAAAAAGAAAAGCATGTTTTACCAAAATAAGTCCTTATTTTAAACTAAAAAAGATTTGTTTCCACATAGCACATAATTTTATCTATAGCATTTAAAAAGAGGATAGTGTGGATAAAGAAAATATCTTTAGCTTTGGCCATTTAAAAAGAAACTCACCTCCTTCTCAAATCTCAACAAGTAGAAAACAGTATGTGTTTATTTTCTTGATCCTTCTGCTTCCCTTGAATCCCCTGCAGGGGTGGTCCATGCTAAAAGTAAAATTACAGAAAGACTGTCAACAAAAGGAAATGAGTAGCTACCCTTAATAATTAGTTCTTCGTATAATTATATATTACTAACCCATCTTGAGAAAATGAAAAATACTTTTGAGAGAATATAAAATAGATGTGTTTAACCATGTGCAGAATAAAATAATGATGATACTCAGCCATCGGTTACACTCCAGCGTTGCTGGGAGCTGTTCTAGACGGTAGCCTGCCACGTTTCCATCTGCAGTGTCAGGAATTATTGATTGAATGAACTAATGAATGACTAGCTGGCAAAAACACTGATAAAGTGCTGGTTTTCTTCAAAACAGTGTGGAGAAAAATACACTCTCATGCTGCAGTTGTAATGAAGCTATAGTGCCTTAATGACTGTGAAGTCTAGTCTTGGGAGTACAAGAGAGAACAGCAAAATCCTCTGTTTTTCTGTCTAGAAAGCTACAGGTTGAGAAAGAGGGTACAATTATAGACTAGAAAGTCATGAAGAATTTGGTAAACCAAGTGTTTTTCTCAAAACTTCACTCTTATAACTAAAAAATACATTATATTGTTTGAAAGAATGAATTTATAGCCAGTTTCAATTTATATAGAGTGTAGAAATTTTAGAGAATTCTTTAATTCAGGGAATTTTATAGATTGCTTTATGATATATAAATTATTGGTTTATAATGAGCTAGTAAGAAAATAAAGATGCTGTTCAATGCAGTCATAACTTTTGAGATTGTAATCACAAAGAATTTGATGCTGTTTTCCAAAATAGAAAACTGGGATACTGCGATATATGGATCATGAATCTAACCTGTTGCAATAATTCATATGTTCTTCTACTTTAACTGTACTTTCATTACTTACATTGTTTCATGTGAGACATACACTTTTTTAAAGTACTCAGGTCTCCTTGTTCAGGTGCATTAATACCTCCTACAGATTTTAGTGCTAAGCATTTTGAGTCAAACATTAATTTCAATTTATTTTTTATTTTAGAAGGGGGAGAGAGGAAGAGAGAGAGAAACATTGATTTGTTATTCCACTTATTTATTCATTTATGCATTCATTGCTTGATTCTTGTATGTGCTGTGACCAGGGATCGAACCTGAAACCTTGGCATATCAGGATGACGCTGTAACCAGCTGAGCTACCTGGCCAGGGCCATTAAACTCAGTTTTAAATAGTGATATTAATATGTGCTTAGAGTAAAGTTGAATATAATACTCTTTTTAAAATGCTTGTCTATCTTTTCTAGAAAAGTTTTTTGAAATGAAGAAAGGACAATGTAAAGATGCTCTAGAAATTTACAAACGATTTTTAACTAGAATGACGCGAGTATCTGAATTTCTCAAAGTTGCAGAGGTATGTAATATTAAGCTTTGTTGGGAATATAATTTTAAAACATTAGCTCACGTATCTGGAGTAAAAGAAAATTCATAATCTAGCCCGACACTCTGCCACAGAGCTGCAGAGCATTCAGGTTGGAAGAGACCTTAGAAGTCATCTCACCTGTCTTTGCACTCAGAGCTGTACTCTGCACTCTTCTATCCCCAGAGGATGATTATTCCATGTTCAAATAAAGCTTTCACAGAAATGAGCTTATTATGTGCTTTGCAAGGTGGTCTGTTCTTCCACTTCACGTATGGTTATCTTTGATTGTAAACAAGTGCTTCCTTTTTATTAAATCCCAGAACAAAATCCTCAGAAAGGCCCATCCATTGTTCTTAGAGTGTATATGATAATTCATAGAATCTAAACTTTTCATACCTTGTCAGTGATTTGAACACAATGAAAAAATTTAAACAGTATAATTAATTTTATAAAGTTTACAAATTGTTTCTTAAGGACTTATTTTTATACTTAGTCAAAAAACTTTGTAATTGTATAGTTGATGTTCCTGAGGTTATCTGTAAGTTGGTGTTTTCTCCGATAAAATCCAAGTATTGATTCACACTGATAGTGAAAATTATGACATTGTTATCATAGTCCTTTTGAGCAAAATGGGTTTTGATTTTGCATGTCAGCTAACTACTTGCTAGGACCAACCAGAATGCTGTGTGCAGGGGTTTCTGAAGCTCAGCAGCCAAGCATGCAATGCCATGAACACAGGATATTCAGATCATGTTTTTGTAATTTTTGCAATTTTGAGAATATAGCACAAGAAGCATTTTATATACATGAATTCAAAAGCACTCTAGTCCATGTGTTATACTGCAAATCTCATTTATTTACAGGAGTAATAATTGTCAAATTCAAATTCTGAGACCAAAATAGTGTTGTAAAATTCTATTTCTCCACTTTGATCCTTATAGCTTATAATTACCATAAAAATATTTTATGTAACATGGGAAACAAAAGGTAAAGATTAACTTTATACATTACATGTTTAAAACATATATAAATAAATATCTATATATTTACAAAAACGTTTGTAAAATACATGTATATGTTAAAGCATGTTCATGTGTATTTCCTCATGGGTTTATTGATGTTGGGGGTCTTTAAGAAAGGATAGGATTGCTTGGAGCTTTTGCTGCTGCACAGGTTTTGTGTTTTGAATTTCACAGAATTTTTCCTATGGTGGAACCATACTTATTATCAATATAATCTAGTAAACTTGCTTAGTTTCTTTCTGTGGACATACAATTGTGCCTAAGTACCCAGAGCAAACTGTTTCATTGTTCTGTTGATCCCTGGTGCACATGCTTCCCAGCTTTCCCGGGTGTGGGACATATGACAGTCTGGAGCATACATGGATCTAGTCAGCTTACTAAGGCTCAACTCAAGGTCTCCATAAGCAAAGGGGTGCTCATTTATCGATACCTTCTAATCTTATATGTACAACCTTACTTTGTGTCTACTGATGTGAGGCCCAATTCAGGCTGTTGTGAATGACAGTTACAGAAATCAGACATCACTTTGACAGCCTGTCTTTAAATAACTGAATAATAAATATTTTACTTTTATTTAAGCATGATTAATGTTTTATAGACTAGATACTAATTTATAAAATTATTTTAGTAGAATGAATATTACACCACAATGGATAACCACAACCATTTGTGTTTTCTTTCACACTTAAATTCTACTGTGCATAATTTCAACACTAATTGTTTAAATATCAGTCTGTAATGGTGTGCTTATGATTGGTTAATGCAAAAGTATTTGACAAGTGTACAAAGCTTTCTCTTCCAATGTGGTGTATATATCTGTGGACTCATACTCAATAGCTATCCTGTGGTTAGTACCATTTGCCTAAAGAGTGTATGGAAGACTTCCAGAATGTCATTTACAAAATACCACCACACTGAGTATTCGGCAAATGTTACCAATAAGTTGTTCTTCATATTTTTAAATGTAATTTCTAATTTCATTTATTATTTTAGGCTTTTTAAAAATGTTATTTTTAGTTTTTAGAGAGCGGGAAAGGGAGGGAGAAAGAGAGGGAGAGAAACACTGATTGGTTGCCTTCAGTATGCACCCCAACCAAGGACTGAACCTGCACCCCAGACATGTGCCCTGACCGGGAATCAAATTGACAATCTTTTCATATTGAAGACAATACCCAATGAACTGAAACACACCACCTGGGCAGTTGTTTGTCATGTTAAAAGAAATGTAGAATAGTAGAATAACTGTTATGGGAATGTTCAGATTTCCCAGAGAATTACTTAAAGTGCAGAAAACTTAAACCATGTTTTTACATTTTTATACAGTCATCCCTGGGTATCTCCAGGGGACTGATCCCAGAACCCTCTGCAGGTACCAAACTCCACAGATGCTCAAGTCCCCTAATATAAAATACCATTGTGTTTGCTTATAAACTATATACATCCTTTTATATATTTTAAATCATCTCGAGACTACTTATATCTAATACACTGTAAATTCTATGGAAATAGTGGTCGTATTATTTAGGGAATAATGACAAGAAAAGAGAGTGTGTATATGCTCGGTACAAATACCACAATTGTAGGCCTAACTACATAGTACACATCAGCAACATAGCATTTTTTTTCAAATATTTTTGATCTATGATTAATTGAATCCGTGGATGTGGCACCTGTGGATACAGAAGGCTAACTGTCCTGAAGATTCCTCAGACAGACAACTGAAACTTTGTAAAATGGCTGGTTACATGTAATAGGAGTTTCTGCTAAACACACTTCCTTTTTTTTAGAACCAAGTTATTCTGAGTTTGCTATTCCAAGGTAAATGCCAAGTCATAGGAATTATGTCTTCCAGAATATTTTCAGACAGAAAGTGTGAGACTTCTGTAGTACAATCACACTTCACCTCAAGCTTCCAAGGTCAGGACAGTAAAAATAGCAATGTCAAGGAAGAATTTCTAAATTGTATCTTTAACAGAATTATCCATTTAGCAGAAACATCACCTTTTAGCAAAGTGATTCTAATATTAGGGATCCATAATACTTTAAGTTTAAAAACATCGACTTCATTCATATTGGTATTTATTCTTAGCCCCTTTGTTTTCCATAATAAGATTTTAGTGGCTTATCTAAAGAGGTTTTAAAATATGGAAATAAATGGAATGAAGTAGTCTTAGTTTATAATTTCCATAATTTATAACAACATAAGTGAGTTTAAGGAAGCATCAGTAGCTTCCCTAAAGCCAGAGTCTACTTAAAAATCTGCATTTGGGGGGAGGAATCTCTGGCATTAACTGATTTGGAGGGATAAGGGCCAGTGCTATGTATACCAATGGTGCTCCACAGTGGGCAATTTTCTCCCGGTTCCCAGGGACAATGCAGACACTTTTGGTTGTCACAACCAAATAGAGAGCAATAAAATAATAGTAGGGGTCTTTAATACTCTACTTACATCAATGGATAGACAGAGGAAAAGGGGGAGGACTACTGGCATCCAGAGGTTGGAGACCAGTGATACTGCTGATGTCCTACAGTGCACAAGACAGCTCCAAACAAAGAATCATCATCCTAAAATATCATTAGTGCCCAGGCTAATCTAGACACAGAAGGCAGAGGAAAGAAATTAGCTCAGCACTTGACCCACAAGTGGATTTTCCAATCTCCTGTTTGCCTTGTTGTCTTTATAGGAACCCAACATTTATGCTTCACATATTTTCTTCTACATTTCCACTAACATAATCAGAGCTCTTCATTTCTCAAAGAGAGAGACTTCAGTTTAAGCCAGTTTGTTTCTTTGAGGCTTAATTCTATCATTTATATAAATTGAGATAATTAATTAT